TACAAATAAAAAAAAATAAAGAAAAGGAATAAAAAGAATTTTATGTTCCAAATAAATCGAGTGCAGCTTGCAGAAAAATAAATAATATGAATACCAGTGCTAATAACGCTTAAAAGTAACTAACAGTGTCTTTCAATCGTTTGCAACACTATTCACTTTTGGATCTTTGGAAAAATCCATCCGTTTCTTTAAATAGTAATGTTCTCATTTGTTTTGACACACTTTCTTGGAGAAATCTTAAGCAAGATTTGCCAAACTTTTGAAGGATTCGCAGCACAAATACGCACTCAGTTCTTGTCTGTTGAACATTTTTCAACACTGTTCAGCTATAACGGACCTGTGCCTATTCATGCAAAATTTCGAGGAAAAACTAATAGCAAAGGAAAAAATTTCTTCAAAAATGTAGAATAAAACTCTTGGCAATTAAATGTTAGAGTATGTACAGTATCGACTTGTCACATTAATTTTTTATTCTCTGACTAATTTTGGGCTCCGTCAAATGATGCCGTTGTAATATGTCGCCCAAAGCAGTTGGTCCTCATGTAAGTGTGTGGCACGAACAGACGCAACTTGTGACATTTTGACGTGCCACAATTGTCAAATGAAATTATAATAAGGGACAAAAAAAATAAATAACAGTGGCTGATGGCATCAGTTTGATATACTTAAGTGCGTTGGGGGCCTTTTCCAAAAAAGGCCACAATTTGGGATTTAAGGCTTTAACGAACTTTTAGGGTCGATCTCTTTGGTGGCAAGCGAATTGCGTCAATTGGCTAACACTCGGCCAAAGTCGTCTTAGATGGCTAATGAATTATTTTAAAGAATTTAAAGAACTCTAAGTAGGCCCTTGCTTTTTGGCTTACACATTTGAGCATTGGAGGAACTGTATTAACAATATATTCAGTTTGCTCTAATCGGCTAAACGTATCAAATCTTTCGTTTAAATTTCTTCAAAATTATTAGATTGAATTAGACACTGTTCGGGACCGTTTTTATATAAATTTTCCAATTCCAAGATGTTTATGTGGTGTGAGCGCATCTCAGCGACAATGGCCGGAGTTGTGGTTGGCCTTTGGTACGGCCACACTTTCCCATCTGAGGATGAAAAGAAGCCAAAGGACAACAAGAAGAAATAATTCAATTCCGCTAGTTAAGGCTGACGTCATAAAAATTCCTAAACAGAATACCATTCACTTAGCTATATCGCAATGGGTATATTATTTTATACCCGGATCCCATTACAATTGGGTAATAAAAGGTAATAAAGGTTTTCCGCGAATGCAGTTGGCATGTCCGATCGAATAAAGTATATGAAGTATGAGGCGATCAAGCCATGTCCGTCTGTCTGTTCGTCCATATCGCGAAGAATTCTCAAATTTATATTCTCGTATATCATAGGCAGAACGAGCATATTAGTTTCTATAGTTTTGATAATAATCGTTTTTAGTTTTAGCTCTAAAAATGGATTTTGCTTTCAAAGCTCCAAAATTAAATTAGCTAGATAAGTTCTTAAGTGCACCCAAGCCTAAGACTTGATTGGGCGATCGTGAAAGCAAGCAAGAATAGCAAATTGGGCGATACAAAAAATAATGACTTGTTCATCCATCACATTAGCCGGGCAAGAAACGTCAATCGATGGTGATATACTATTCGAAGTCAAGTGAAAAATTTAGTCCCACTCTGACAGTCAAACATAAACATTATCAAGAAGTATTACTAGATATGAAGGAGATGCGCCGAGCTTGTAGGCCACAACCATCGCTGATCTCGCGACTGAACTGCAAAACATGTAATCGGGTTTTGTTCTTCATCGCCGGCGTTGGAAGTGGTGTATTCTACATCCGGCATCAAGAACAGATAGCCGAAGAGCTCAGGAATGCCGAACAGGGCAATAACAAGAAGGATAAGGGCAAGTAATGTTTGGAATGGATTTCTAATGGGGACACTCTAATTGCAACACAAATCAAACTCAGCTACTTTACACCGAATGAATTGAATGACGATCTAATACAGCTAAAGATAGTGCAAATCGTAACAAGGATGTAACGTCTGCCTAACTCTAGCCCTATTTGTACGACTTTCAAGGCGCCATATAGCACAGCACTTGGAATGCAGCTCCCCCCAGACATTAACATCGCGGACCCGACCAGGCATGGAGACCGGGCAAACAACACGACATGAATATATTAAAATTAGTAGTAAATAATATTGGGCTTTTTGTAACGAAAAATTCATTTTCAAGCCTAAAATTAATTTATATATTAATGTATATAATATACACCCAACGAAATAAATAATCCATAAAAATAATTCTGTTTGTATTTCAATTTTTATTGCTTTGAACTGTGAATTTGAATTTTTATAATATTCTGCAACTAATAATTTTGGGCCACACTATTAAAGCGTATTCTACACCTTAATTTTCCAGCTTCTCTTTTTCTCCATTTTCTGTAATTGGGATTTAGGGTTAGAACAACAATTTAACGGGTTCGTTGCTCCGTATTAGTAATAACTTCTATATAGCTTGGATGGTCTAGGTTAGGTCTGCTTTGTTACTTTTTCTGTTCCTCTTTTTTCTTATCCTGTTCCTTTTTTTCTCGTTCTTTCTTGTCCTTTTCTTGCTGCTCTTTTGCCTTCTTATCTTGCTCTTTCTTCTGCTTTTCTCTCTGGTCCTTCTCCTGTTTCTCTTTCTTCTCCCTTTCCTTACGCTCCTTCTCTTTTTGTTTGGGGTCCTTGTTCGCTTCCTCTCTTTCCTTTCTGGCCTCTTCCTTCAACGCGTTAAACCAAACACCGATGCCAGCTCCAACAATAAAGAAGAATAGTCTATTGCAGGCCGTACAGTTAAGCCTCGTGAATAGCGACGGTGGAGGGCGACAAGTCGGACGTGGGGATGGTGGTGGCCTACATGATGGATTGGGACAGCCCGAGGATCCAGATCCAGATCCCGATCCACATTCTTTGTTACACATTTGAAGGCCGGTTCCAAGTTAAATGAAAATTTTTGTTATAGGAAAAAAAAAACTATAAAGTAAAAAGAACAGGGGAAATTTTGAACAGTATAACGAAATTTTGTGTGTATGACTGCCAGAAAATAATTATGTCGACTGAGCCTGACACAAATCTCTCGTCGAAAAACTAGCCTTAGGGATCAAAGTTGGCTAATCCTCAAACATCATCATTTTTTTCGATTTGGCCAAGTGAAGGCTGAAAAATTTGCATATCGATATTTTGTGAAATTATTACGAAATACCAGCAACTATTTAGCCGGCTTTGTGCAGGCAAAGTATTTTTTAAATGTCCACTTTAGTCGGGTGTATTTTTCAAAATCTATGAAACTCATTTTCGACATAATTTTATATAGAGCTTAGATATAGTGAGTCTTTGATCTGTGAAAGTTGCTTTCAAATCGATCAAGTAATACTTAAAATAGTATAGTATATTTATAAGACCAGTTTTTCCGGATGGATTTTTCAAAATCCGTGAAAAGTGTTTGACCATTGAACATATCATTATTGTGTGCGAGAGAGTTCAGTTCTTACACTTACTTCAATTTTTTGACTTTTATAAATCAGTTTTAAAAGCAGTCGGGTAAAAAGTACGTAAAATCTCTTTTACATATTTCCACCATTATTTCACTGTTGCGGGCGAAATTGCGCAAAAATTGTTCACTTGAATTATAACAGGCTGAACTCTGCAAAAATATAGCTTCTGGATTTTCTTGTGAAGGCTGACAGACAAACAGTAAATCAGAAAAAAAAGTAATATATATTTATAAAGATACCTTTAAGCTAAACTTTATTGTTTTCCTATATAGGTAAAAAAGTGACCTCAGCTAGTTTGGTGCTACTTTCGTAATATGTTCGAAACCCACTCTTCAAATTCTTTACTGCTCAAGCATGCCTTAAGTTTTATTTCAGTTTAAAAAAACCTTTCGAGTCTAAAGCATCATATCAAAACACTTATTTTCTAAAAGTGGTTTGGGTTAGTTTATTTTATTTTTTTTTTTATATTTTGCGTTTAATTTGAAATTGTTTAAAATGGATTTGGATTGGTTAATTACCTTCGTGTTGGGTTGCGTTCTTGGCTTTGTCGTTGGATTACATTCTTAGGGGTAATACGAAGGAGAAGTCAAACAATATTGAGGTATAGTACATTTTTCTGAACTAGTAGACTTTGCTTTCTACGCAAATAATATATCGGAACATTCTATTACTTCAAAGGAGGACAACGTTACGGCACGCTACATTTGTTGTGCATTTTCTTTTCCAAAAAGTGATGAAACTGTATTTTAAGTAAGTGGCCAAATAATTGTATGAATTAATATTAAGTATACGTTCTCTATGCAGCATACACTAGCCGAATAGTCCAGGAAGTACAGTCATGAGTCACGTTATATCATTCGCACTCGGCATGATAACAGGTTTGATGTTGTGTAAGAACCGACGTTGCGGTCCTGACAATTGATGGCAGCCCAATCAAAATTATACATGAAAAATTTGATTAAAAATAATATGCGAAATTTTCGTGCGGAGCACATGTACAAATTACTATAAAATTAAATTATGACTTAAGAAACTTAAATGGATAACTTTTCTGTACTAAACCCGATGTAAGTTGGCCCAAATTTGCATTTTACCCTCTTGTGGAGGGTAATGTGCAACGCATAGATGCTTGAATAGTATCGACAGCCGAGTCGATCCTTCATTTTATATGTTACCAGTATCTCAATATCTCATACATATATACCAAAGTCGGCGGAGGCGGACCACTATATCATATAGCTGCCATACAATCGACAGCTCGATAATAAAATATAAAAAACCTTTGTGTTCTTCAAGATATCTTGTACCTTATATATGATTAAATATTGTCCACATCGGATGCTTCATAAAATAAGTTTTTGCATAGATTTCTCATTTTCAGATATCTTAAACTAACTCAACCTTTTATAAGCCGTAAGCCGAGAGATAGATTCAATATATATCACATGGTATTTGTGGAGTTCTTAATAAAATTAATGGATGCAATATCTCACATCATCTGTTGTGAAAGTCGGCCAAATTAAGGTTTCCTCAACATATTTCATGGCTTTCTTTTTTGATTCAATTTGTGATATGCGCTGGAATCGCTCAGTTCCTTTTTAACTCTACTAAGCGAAATACTATGAAAGCATGGTGTAGTTACAATGTTGTGCCTTATATGGTTTTTACAAAGAAGGGTATTTACAGTGTAGGATATTTATAATAAAGTGGATCAGGGTCATAGCCTTATACTGTAGGATATCAAGCGATATAAATGAGACCAATGTAGGTCGCAGGAGTGTAGACTTTCGAGGCACTTCACATCTCACATTGTCTCCTTTGAAAAGAACCATTCAAAAAAATTACTTTTATTATATTTATAGCAGTTTATTTCGTGGTGTATAAATGGAACTTCATTTGAGATGATTTCGAAATTTCATAATACTTTTTGATCACGGGCTACATCTGCGACACAACGCCAGGCCAAGGAATACGCCTGCGGCAAAGGAAAGCAGATGCGTCATTTTGTCATATGCGGAGTAGATATTATAATTGTTTAAATATTTATATGAATATCCAGATTCTGATTGTGGCCACAGATCCGATTTGCTTGACTTAATATATGTGATCGAGAGAAGCCCATGCTTATTTTGATGTTGAAATGTTAATAATTTGACTACAAAACCGAGACGTAGAAATTAAACGTTAAGGCGGTTTGGCATCCAAAGTTATGTCATTAATTGAGCAGCAAGTAGAATTCCTTTGAAGGCAGCTGGGGCTTACTGTGAACGCATCTTACAAGTTTATTAGAGATTAAATAGAAGTACTTTTTTTCTGCTTTACACTTACGCGGTGTTTCGCAATAAGGTAGCCGCAAATGCCTCCAATAATGAACGTCAGAAAACGCTGCATTATTATAATACAAAAAGAGACCGTTTAGAAAATACGAAAAAAAATTTGGAGTTCCACTTAAAGTTAGTTGGGGGGAAGTGTTGAGTTTGTGAATATGGAAACGAAAGTACAACATTGACGCTTGAGGCAAAAGCCTGCTACGAAACTGAAGCATTTATCTGGCAACTAGCTCAACCAGCACATATCCTGTACTCAAGGAGTAGACTATCGAATCCCAAGAACTATCAACTTTAATATGAGCAGTTCCCAGTAGACACAGCTGATGCCAACCGTTATCAATAAGTTTGGTGGGCAACTTGTTTTGTATTCCCTGAAATGAATCGATTATTTGGACCTCAATCTATTCGTGGAAACAGGCTAATAAAATATGTGCAAGTGCTGCAAAAGTTTTCAACCGGATTTCCCCGAGCGAGGCAGCTGGCAAAAACTTTGCGCCGATTTTCATTTATTGCCCTCGGGTGTGAGGGCATCTAGACAGACGGTGTTTTTCAATTTTTGGCCAACTTTAAGGCTATCTCTCGGTTAATGGCTAAGTCAATTAACCTTTGCATAATTCTACAAAATACATGTGGGCCCTGAAACACGACGAGTGTTTGTTAATTAGTACGAAAAGTTTGCTGTTGCTTGAACTAAATTATTGTAAAATGGCTTACAAAATTAACACACACTCACACACACGCACACTTATATGCTTACCTTTCATTATGATTGATTATCGGGGCTGCGGAAAATGATATGATACCGCCCACGAGGCCGTTTAACAAATGAGCTCAGGCGTGGCCTGCCCCAAATCGAAATCAGCTAGTTTGTGGGGCAGCTGTCAGCACTACCGCATTTTAATCAGTCGGTTTTTGGGGCTTATTCACACACACACACACACACAGACACAGACATCCGCATAAATATTTCATGATTTTCGCCTTGAGAGATGCTCGAGTGCGTTTTGGCATAACTTAGATGGGGCTTTATCTGAATACAAACAAAAGGCAAACACAACCCGACTAACATAGTATATTCAAAAAGTCTGCTGGTTGGGTAATTGAATGTGCTCGTAGTTTTGCGGGCAGGACTCAGGTTAAAGGATAAGCGCCTGCGAGATTGCCTACAAAACGAAATGATGGCTGCCAGGCCCAAATGATTGATGGCATTGTCAAGCCGAGCCAAAGGTTAAACTGTTTGGCCCTGCTCTCAGCTCCTTTTCCTTAATATACACACATTTATAAAGCCCGACGACAACAGGTATTGCACTTCTTTCTGTGTGAGTCTGACGGTGGTTCTACCCTTTAACCACAAATTGAAACCTTATTGATTAGGGCCATCTTTTTATAATCCCTGTGCCCTGGCATGCTAACAAAGCACAAAATAAACTTGTGCAGCTTGCAGAAGGTGTTCATTTGGAACACACAAGTTATAGTTTTCTGCTACGCATTAAATCTTTGTCTTTTCTTCTGCCTCATTCAACCTGAAAACTAAAAGGGTGAAAAATTAAATTCTATACTCGTGTCTGATATTTACGAGTATGTATTTTCCATTCGAAAAGAATTTGTTAACAAATACAAGACGTTTTAACCATTCTGCAATTTATAAAATAACGAGTTTTTACATGTCGCATTGAGAATTGAAGCTCTAGTTAATTTTGACTTTTTCAATATCTCTTTAAGTTGGGTTATTCATATAATTTTCTTCTTTAGATTCATAAAACAAAAATCGGTAATTATTGCTTTAGCAATATGTAAAAATATATTTTAAAACAAATAATTAATTATTTTTATTTTCACATTCTCTCAATAATTTATTAGAAACACGACTTAACAATTTTTTATTATTGCATTTTGTGTAAATTATCATTAATAAGTCTAACTTATACTTTTAATATATTATTATGATACGTAAATAATTTTTTTAATTTATTATTATTATATTACGTATAGCAATATTTGTATATTAATAAGTTCCTAAATTTCTTTGTTTTTGGTGGTAAAAAGAAAGAGTTTTATATAAAAATCATAGATTAGTGTACAAATCACAAACACATAGCTTTATGTTTGTGAAATCATAAATAATCGTTTATTTAAATAATTATTTAAATACCTGCATAAGACCTTTATTGGTTTTCCTTTGACGAACTGCATCCATTTTGAAATTTCTGCTGTCAACGACAATTCGACTTATTCGCCAAGCTTTTGGCTAACAGCAGCCATTCTCTTACGATGTTAACTGCCGCTCTTAGTTGATGAGCTTTCGCTGAACTCAATTTAACTCTCTCTTTCTCTCTCGCTCTCTCTCTCTCTCTCTCGCTATCCTTCGCTCTCTCTTAGCGCGCAATATAAACAAATGACTTGCCGGCTTTTGGCGCCAATTGGCCGAGCAGCTGTTTTATAGCCCACCACACGGCGGAGGCCTGTGTGGTGAGTTCTGGCCTCATCGTGGCCAACTCCATCATGGGCCAAGTTCGTTTCGCCTCAGTCGTTATTCCTGTGCCGACGCGGACGAAAGCAATTGCGAAGTCCTGAACCTCGTCAATTTTGGCACCCAAAAGCCAACCAGCGCGCATCTCAAAACATTTGATCAAAGTCGAAGCGAATCGCGCGCGATAGTTGTCCATTTCTGGCTGTGTATTTGTGTCTCCGTGTGTATGCGTGTGTGTGTCTGTGAGCGTGTTTCACGGTTGTGACAGGTATTCAAAGGTGCCCAATACGAATTACAATTTACAAAATTAACCACAGTGTTGGCAGAATTAATCAATTTCTGGGCATAATACATAAATAACATGCTAATGAATTTGACAGCTTGATATTACTTGATTGATGTAAATAATTGCAATAATTATTGAAATTTTAGCATGAAATGAAAAATAAATAAAAAAGTAAAAGTAATTAGTATATTAAGCATAATTAAATAAATCAACCCTTCCTCTTTATTGGGTAAATTTAATTAAAATAAATATATAAACAATAAATACTTAGATACTTGTTTTATTTATTATATAGAGAACAATACAACAGAAAATAACAATAGAAAAAGAAAGTTAAAATAAATATTTATCAAGTAACATCAAGTAAATTATTATTAAATTTTAAAAAATGTACTCATATCATTATTAAAAATTTAATGCAATTAGTATAAATGTTTTCTTATTGAAGAACATTAAAGTGTTAATGAAATACATTTTTCTGCAATATAAACTGATGTTTAAATAGTTAAAGGCAGTCATTTTTTTAATTCACATGAATACATATTAAAAAAAAGAAGAAAACGAAGACTTCAATAATAAAATCATTATAATTCCAAAAAGCGTTTATAAAGTGATCAAATAAAGTCAATCATTATATTTAATTAATAATCAGACCCAGTCAAAAGGGATATTCGATTGAAAAGAGCTGTCTACAAAAATTAAAAATACATTTTCCTAATGAAAAGTGTTTACAGATACATGACAATATTAATCTTACTTAAAATCTGAAACAGTTACGAAAAGTGTTAACAAAAGAAACTTTGCTTAAGCACTCGGGCACCTTGGCGAATTGGATATTAAGTTAGTTGGCTGGTTGTTTCAGTTACAGTTTAAGCCTTTTCTGAACTGGCTGTCATGTTGAGTGAAGTGTCGAGTTCACTGATAAATTGACTTTGGGTGGAATTAAAAGTTCAAAACTTATCCAAAACTTTTGCAAGTCAACTGTGTTAAGGCAACTGTCGACACGTGTCAACTAATAACCAAATATATATATATGCATGCAAATGTATCTATACCATATATGTATATCTGACATATTAATGGCAAAGCAAATGCTACAAAATGTCGCTTGATTTTGGCTTTAAGCCCAAAACAGCAATGATTAAATGCAAAAGAAACAGCAAAAGCAGCCGAAAATTGAAAGGAAAGACGGCAAATTGAATTCTATTCAAGGGAAAAATTAACCAAAGCTGGGGGAAGGGCTGGGAACGTGGTCGAGCTAACCGAAGGCGAACCGCGGTCCAAGCCAATGTCTGTGGGCCATATAATTGAGTTATTTAACTTGGATTCAGTCATTTTATTATTATTAAATGGCTGCTGTGACAACAAGCTGAAGCTGTTAATGGCGGCACATAAAAATGAAGCTTGTCACATAAATAAGAATGCGCGTGTGTACGTGTGTGTGCGTATGTGTGCGTATGTGCGTGTATGTGTGTGTAAGTGTGGGCGACTAAGCGCCGCAATGATTGTTTTAATGGCTACTTGAACGGAAATTAACTGACAAGAGCAGATAAATAAATACCAAAGACAGAGACAGACAAAGTGGGAGAAAGAGAGAGAAAGAGATGGGAGGGCGAGCGGGTGGCACTTTAAGAGTTGGGTTTTGTTTTAGCGATGACAGCTCGCCATTTTGGGCACTCAAGGACCCAAAGACAAAGCACACGTGCGCCTTAAAGCTGCACCCAATTACATAGATAGCCGAGCAGTCAGGCGTGAAGCACACACATATTTTGCACGTTCTGCGTATTTATACAAATATTTGCTTATTGAAATGTCAAATAAGCTAATTTTCCACATAATTCTAATCCTAACACACACACACACACACACACATTTCAGTTGTCGCTTTGCACATAAATGACAAACAATTTCATGTGTAGATAAACACAACAAAAACAACAACGACTACGACAAATTTTGCACATGCAAATTGCCAAATTGCTTTTTAGCCTGTGAGTCCGGAGAATATGCAAAAACAAAAAAACATAAATTTGAAAGATGTGCGCACTTGTATTAGCATAAATTTTATTCGTATAAACAACAGAAGTCTTAATGCCAAAATCTTAAAACCAAAATTGCTTTCAAAGGCAGCAGCAAATGTCAATTAAAGTGCCTCAATTTAAGAATTTGGTGTGTTTCTTTAATTTTTTAGTTAGAATTTAAACTGTATAAGGTTTAAGCTACAGACGGACTGTTCTTTAATTGGATTTTTTGCCTGCGTGCAAAGGAGAAAAAGAAATTCTAAAAAGTATTTTAAAAGCTTATGAAAAGTGGTTAAAAATAATTTTAAAAATGTATTTTTAAAGCTTATTAAACATGGGTAACAAAACGTGTATTTGAAGTATTTGCAGTTCTTTATCGACATATAAAAATTCTGGAAGCGAATACAAGGTGTTCTTTTTATTCCATTGGCATATCTTTATTAAAATTAGTTTACAT